CCCTAAGTAGCCAACAGCAAATGCCGAAACCCTAAGTGGCTACTACAACCTTCTCTGTCGCCGCCAACAACACCAGTGCTCACCAACTAATATACCTAGGGGCGATGGTGGTTAGTCAACTCCGGAGAGTGAGGGTTGAAGATGGTAATGAAAACCAAATTGCCGTCACGCCAGATTTTGAGAGTGTCGATTAGGATAAGACAATATGTTCAACGGATTCGACGAGCATGACGATGCAGCATTAGTGAACAGTGAACTCTCCAAGCCAACATCAATCTTCGGGCTCAAACAAGACTATGGGTGGTGATCGGAATATTCGTCGGATCGAAGCAACCATCCTTCCTCCTCTCTATGCATCACCTCTCGCCGCCGCAAATTCTCTAAACTCCTTCTTGTGAATAAAATATATACACACACACACACACACACACAGAACTGGGTTGTTACACTTGTAGGGCTCTTCTTGATCGGATGGAGTAAAATCTACAATGAGAAACGACGTATTGGCGGAGAAGTAGCGTTAACTGAGGAGAAATTGGGATCCGACGGTTGAGTGGAGAGAGAAAAATAAAAAATCGGGTGGAGGTGGTGGTTGTGGGTGGAAGTTGTATCGGTGGCAGATGTGAGTTGTGGCGATGGTGGGTTGAGGATATTGAGGTTAGAGAGAGAAAGTAGGTAGGTGTAGTTAATTTTCTTTTTTCTTAAAAAAAGGGGCATTTCGGTAATTTAATGGTTCTGATATTTTAGATTAAATATGAATAAAGTATTAAAGGGTAATGTAGACATTTCACTCCTTTTTAGGCTTTGTTTGGATGCAAAATCTGACGGGGGTGTCATTGTTCAAAAAATGACCATCTTTCATCTGACTGTCAATAAGGTAAACCTCAGGAGGTGTAAGTATAATTAACCCTAGATAATACTATCAGAGGAGGGATGAATTGGTTCTTAATTGTGAAAAAGAAAATGTGTTAAATTCTTATTGTTATTATAACTAATAGTTTTTGTTAAAATATTTGTCTCTCAATGAAATGGTTAAGTAATAAATTAATAATAAATAAAAACAAACGATATGTAATAATCAATGGACAATTGGCCTAGCGGTATTAATCTCTTATCTTTTAAAGAGAGGTCAGGGATTCAAGTCTCAAAAGAGACATATGTGTGTGAGTACCAATTAAAAATAAAAAATAAATAAATAAAATGGGACATGTGTAATATGACTATAATTGAAATTACGTACTTAGGTGGATTAAAAAGCTAGCCTAATACATCAAGTTTTTATACTATTACATGTATGATAAGAATCAAAACGTAGAAATCACTTAAATTTATAATCTAACACATCGAGACCTTATTATCATTAATCATTGTTTGAATTTATATCATTATTATTTTTATTTTATCTAATTAAGATTTTAGTGTATTTCTTCCACTTTTCCCCCACCTTTTAATTGTTTTAGCAGTACGACCCAACTGAAGTCCACCTTTACCATTAGACATCAATAATTCCTTTGTGGAAGTCGCCATTACCATTAGGTAGTGTTGGCTCTTGTGGGACCCTAATTACATTAATTACATATCTCTTGGTTTATCTATACAGACTATAGAGACAACCTAAGTCCATTTTATCTTTATAGACAAACCAAAATGATTTTATATCTTCTTCACATAAGTTGTGGGACCCTAATTACATTAATTACATATCTCTTGGTTTATCTATACAGACTATAGAGACAACCTAAGTCCATTTTATCTTTATAGACAAACCAAAATGATTTTATATCTTCTTCACATAAGTTGGGGGAAATAATTGGTTACATATAGTCAAGTCACTTTTGGCTGCTCTTTTTTGAGGTCTATGTGGTAAATTTAGTCAACACACCTTTTTCCACTCACTTTCTTCCAACTTCTATATATGCAATCCCCCCTCTATATGTATGTATGTATGTATGTATATCTCACACACACACACGCGCGCGCGCGCGCGCGCGCGCGCGCACACACATATCAGCTGTAAAGCAAATAGTGATGGAGGTTTTGGGATTGGAGGAGAGGGACAGAGATATAGGGGAATCCCATATAGAGAAACTTGTGTTTCTTAGCCAAACTTGATTCAAATGAGCTGTGGCAATATAACACGTTATAAGGCATATGAATGGCACGTGATTGGTCAAATTAGGTAAGCTTTGCCATTAACTCCACTAAACAAGCATGTTGCTACCTTTTTATTGGTGAATTAAAGGCCTAACAAACAATTAAATCAGTGCTCAAAAGTAGGTAATCAGATTGGGGAAGGACAGAGAGACCAAAGGTATGGGCATGTCGAAACGATGTCGTGGGGTCATGAATAATAAATAACAATACTACCATCATAATTATTATCTTAGCGCCAACATCATTCCAAATGCTTAAACCTACATATGAGTCCATGTCACATACATATAGATATAGATGTGTCTATATATTAAAAGGTTAAGTAGGCGTGTTAATTTTCACGATTCACGGGTTAAGGATGAGAAACACTTTATTTGTTTAGTTTTGATGGTTGTAACCGTACGCATGCATGTCATTAGCATGATGTTAGCACATGTAAAAAATAAAAACAAAACTACACGTAAATAGAGTTAGAAATTAAGCCACATAATTCTTCTCAATGGGTGTCGCTTTAACGTTTCGAGCTCGCTCCTGCTCTGACTTAAATTCTCACTATTTATGACTTAATTCTGCCATTCTCGAATTCGCTCTCGCTCTCACTCTCACTGCGCTTTATATGACTTAAGTTAGGAATCCTATATAATAAAATAGTCTACTTTAAAATTTTATTTTTCAATTTGATTAGTCAAATAAAATAATTGCAAATGCATGAAGAATTATTACTAAGACCCAAAATATCCTTCAAGCCCTTATTGTAAAATATCAAAATAACTTTCTCATAATCATATATTTCCAAAATACTAAAAACAAATTAGGAAACTTAACATTGTTCAATACTAATAGTTGATATTAAGGTGCTAAATTTAGCAGGTGTTAATTAAGACCAAAAGTTTGACATATAGCAAAACTGAAACAAAAAGTGTTAATTACTATAAATATAAGCTAAAGAGATGGAATCCATAATAAGGCATGATCTAGAATGTCATTTACATAATATGGTAAACACTTGTAAGATAAAAGGAAATTATTTAAGAATGAAATTATACTTGGAAAACAAATTCGCAATAGTTGTAGCAAATTTGGATGAATTCTCTGATTTATTTAGGCAAATGACATCCATCTACAAAAGTTTGCATCTTTTTTATTAGACAAGTACTATTCTGTTCTAAGTTAGAATATAAATTTATTATAACAATACTTGGGTCCAACCCAGGTTGGATGTAGCCCAATAGATCTAAAACAAGTGTCCAAAAATAAAAGTTGTGATTTAAAACACATGTCCAAAAGCAAAAGTTAGGCAATGCCCAATTTAATTTTATATTTAATTTTAACACTTGTTGCAATTTTATAATACATGTATGTGTGTGTGGTTATAATGAGATTATGAAAGCAACCTTCTAGACATCCTTTACTAAGACAAATACTTGAATTTTATCTCCTTCGTAGAAGTAAAAGATGAGCTATCATTACTTTTTGAACAAAAATCTTAACATGGTAAGAGATTTGCATCACATTCTTGATCAATTTGAATTAAATGATAGTTAAACCAGTTTTAAATTATCTATTTTAATATGAACAATATTATAAAATTATATAATTTTAAAAAGAATATTTTGATATTTTGGAATGAGAGCTTAAAGAGGATTTTGGATCTTAACAATAGTTCTTAATGTATTTGTAATTATTTTTCTTAATTCAATGACTGTGAAAAATCAACTTTTAAAATTGATTAATTTGTTATTTAGGACTCTTAATTCTATGTATGTGTAATTTTTTCAAAATAAATCAAAATAAAAATATTGTATGTTTTAGATTTTTACTTACCAAAAATAAGAGGATCATATAATAATAATATGTTTTTTTTTTCTAAAAAAAAAGGGGGGTTAAATTTCTAAAATGAGACCATTAAATTGAGACCAAGAGAGTAGATAAATAACAACTTGTCCAAATTCCACTAGACTGCCACTTGTCACTCAAAAGGGACTTAATTGATTGACCCTTGTCTCCAAAATTACTTTTTAGCGTGTGTGTGTGTGCAAGTAATAATTAGATATTACCGGGAAAAAATAATAATTAGATAAATAACTCATATACCCCATGTGATATTTTACTAATAAAAAAAAACCTGCTGGTTATATTCCATAAAAATGATCCGTATCACTTGACTTAGATAATTGATAAATAACATGTCGACTATAACTACCACGAATAATCTAGCCTACTCTTCATATACAATCTATTTCATCTAAGCCTACTCTGCATGTACAATCCATCTCATCTCCAATATTGGTTTATTCCTGTAAACATATAATAACAGCTTCATCAAAGTTGTTCGGGCTCCAAGACCTGCCATTCCAGAATCGTTTTCAAATTCATCTCGCACTGAATTTCAGGTCAACGACTTTTATGTTATGTTTGAGAACACCGAATCAATACCTAGGATTTAAAATTAAAAAAAAAAAATTAATTCAAATTTTGTACTAAAATTCCTCTAATCCCAAATCCAGAGTACCAATTCACTACTGCCAAACATACCATTAGTGAAAAAAACCTATGAATTCCACCATGGAAGTCAGATTATCGTATGAATAATTTGACATGAAGTTGTAAGCTTTCTAGGTTAATTTTGATGTTTCCTCTTCCAGGGGAAACAATCTGGTAAAAAATAGATGTCATGCTTTCTACATGCCCAGAACAAACATCAATTATAATTGAAGATAAACAAGTGTATCATAAAAAATAAAATAAAATAAAAACAAGAACCTTTTTTTTGGTTAACCAATACAAAAGCACAAGTTTAATAAATGACTCTGTATGCATTAAATGTTCAGATGAGACACCAGAAATAGCAGATAATTTGAGATTTCATTATAAGTAATTTGATAAACAGACCCCAAAACATACAAGAACATAGAAACCAACCGTTAAAAGAAACTCATTCTCTCAAAAATTGTAGTTTTCTTTCTTCCTCACCAGCTTAATAACATAAAATGATGTAAACACCAGATTCCATAAGGACACGGAAAATAGAAAGGAAACGAAGGGGATGTTTCAGCTACAACACACTGCAAAAACTTTTCTTCCTGAATGCATGCTGAACCAGACTCGAGATGAACTAGGACCCAAAGCCATGTATTGAATCCTGAACTGCCATCTTATTGCATACACGCAAGCATAGAGTAATGCATAAGATCCTGAAAGCAGCAGAACTGGATGATAACAACTCCGAACAGATCAACTGAATGTAATGGTGCCAATTCTCAAAAAAGCAGCTGAACAGATCTTCGCAATATTGTAAAGCAAATTAACCTTCCTCTTTGCTACATGAGACCCTGAACAGTCATATAAATGGATTATTAAATGATTTCTTTTGCATTAGAAGTATCATGCAAAATATAAAGACTGCTATAATTGCACAGATTTAATTTTAAACTTAGCAAATAAAAAATAAGGTTAATATGGAGCAAAGGGAAAAGTAGCATGATTGTCAAAATATCAAGACAGGTCAAGGTTATAAGTCTGTACAAGCAATATATAAACAAATAGCAGCAGCTTCCCGTGCACATACCGAGTAACGATCTAATACACGCGCACAGGCTTGGTCACACATGTTAAGCAGGTTTTGGCAAACAAGAAAGCAATACCACGGGTCTATAAAGCTACAAATTTTTGGACAGGGTGGAGTGGGGGTGGGCATAAGCTTAACAAACCTGTGTTTCTATATTTCTTTCTCTAATCACTTGAACCCCCTTTATATACCTCACCTAATTTTTCAGAAGTAGGAGTCCAGATGAGGTATCCGTAAAAAGAAGACGACTTTTTTAAATAGCATATTGAAGTTTGCAGAACCAATTTGCTTAGAAAATTTTGGCCAGATGGGGTCTCAGTAAAATTTTGGCCACTTGCAATTGCAATCTTAAAAGGATCAAATCTAGTTTGTTAATTTCTAATCATTAGTCACATCTTTACTACTGTTGAATAGCCTATGATTTGAACCGCATACAGCACCTTTACCAAATTATCAATTGCTTGGGGAGAGAGAAAGAGAGAGGAGAGAAAGGGGAGTAAGATATGTTCGAACATGGCTAAAGAGTCCAAATACGAACATTCATTGACCAAGTTCTTAAGAATTGAGCAGTTTAATGAACAACAGACCCATCAAGACACGGAAAAAGAAATGAAGTGCCTAAAGCAAATGGCCGATTAAAGGGTAAAATTAACTGGTTTATCACATCCAAAGGTACTCATGCAAATAAAATATAGGGAAAAAGAAAAGGATTAAATACTACACTGACCTCCCGTTTGTCCTAATAACACCCGGATGAAACTTTTCAAAAATTGTAACTAGTGACCAAAATGCCAATCCCAGCCTCTGAAATGACTTTTTTACCCTTACAATGACATTTAATTACCAATAGAAATTATTTTTATGGACAAAATTACCCTTCTCTCTCCACTCTTTCTCGCTCTCCAACCACAGCCACCCACCCACCTCATCTCTCTCCCCCTCTCTCCACCCGCCGCCACCACCACCGTGTGGTAAAATCAAGCTAACAATTAGTTCTCTGCAACTAAACTACCAACAAACAAGTATATAAACACACACACACACACACACACACACACATAAGAACAAACACCTAATGTTGACCCTTGGTTTGAATTAAAGTTATAATTTGGAAACCCAGATGAGTTAGGATGCCAAGTCATGAAAGATGAGGAAGAGAGGCTATTTTAAAAGAGAGACCCAGATGAACAAAAGTTTATATTTCTCAAATTTTCAAAACCCCACATCCCAAAAACAGTCTTAGATAATTTCTTCGTAATGCTATTGCTACGATTGAATAGACTAACTCAAGGATTCTAATCACGATTGAAATTGATCGACTTGGAAGAAGGAATTCCATACATCCCATCGCAAGCACCTTCAATGTCATGATCACATTGATATTTTTTTTTTAATTATTATTTTCTTACTGTCAGAGAAGAAATCAAATCGTTTAAAGAACAATAAACATAGCCTCTTAACAATAATAATGAATAGGAAAGGGAACCAAATGGTAAGAGGCTTGACTTCTTGAAAGTATGACTGTCGTTTGGATCATCGGAATTCGAATGGTTATGAATATTGTGCTGAGTCTCTAAATGTCCTTCCACTGGAGCTGCTTTCTCAATTCCCATTTTCTTTGTAATGTTCTTAAAACATGTACAAGCTGTGTGTACGGAGACAATGTAACATGCGAAAAAATCACGGATTTAAATGAATATACATACACAAATATATAGATATATATATATATATATATATATATATATATGTCACCTTTAATCTCTCAAAAACAAAATAAGGATGAAAGGTCAGAAATGAGGGATCTGAGTCAAAGTTCATCTATCTGTATATGCACCTGCTTCAAAACTTAGGTTCACAAAAAAAACTACATAAAATGGCTCAAGCTATGGCTTCAATGGTTGATTTATACTTACAAAGGTATATTATAACTATATTTCAATGGCTTGTTTATTATACTTATATTTCACTTCCAGTATATATATATATATAAAATATATGTGGTATATGTGTTAGGTTAGAAAGGATTGACAGAGTAATTTATATGGAATAATGGAAAGCTAGCAGAACTTAGCCACCTATATAGATTAATTTTGGGAACGATGAGGCTCGGACGCCTGTTGTAATTGGTGGGTGGGTGGTTGGTGACAATGGTTGTGGTGGTGTCCCACCAGTGCAGGTGAGAAGATTGAAGAGAGGGAAGAAACGAAAGAAGGTGAGCCAGCAACGGCGCTGGTTTCTTCAACCAGTGGGTCTGGACCATCTGGGGGTCCACCTCCGGCGCTCCTTCCGGCAGCAAGAAAGACATCAATCGCAAATTCTGGTTGAATCTTCCTGCACCGATCGGGGAATCAATAGCAGTTCTATCCCGTGGATCACGCCACCATCTTGCATGACGTAGTTAGTAGGAACAACCTTCGCCAGATCCACCATTGTCGCTCCATAAGCTTCACTTGTCAAATGCAGGGGAATGTTGGAGAGAGAACTTAAAAAGGGAAGAAGAGAAAGAAGATTTGGGGGAATTAATAATTATTTCGACAAAAATGTAAATTCAAACTCCTAATTTTTATTTTATTTTATTATTAAACTAATCGGGGTATAAGAGTAATTTCACCCTGATTCTTAAAGTTAAACCGTTAGATGGGAGGTCATTGTAAGATTTTTCAAAACTTTCATCCGGGTGAGATTAAGGCAAACCTTAGGGGAGGTCATTGTATTTAACCCAAAAGAAAAGCTTCCCTGTTCACTTAAAAATAAGCCTTCTAGTTGCCAGATTTAAGAAATTAAAGAAAGATACAAGAGAAGAGATGAGAGAGATTTTTTTTTTTTAATAAGTAAGAAGAGATGAGAGATATTAGGGGAGAAAAAAGGTCAACTTCACACTAAGTGACTTGGGAAACTACTTCATGTGGCTTCCGCTTCTCAAGACCCTTCTTCTAGAGAATGCTGAAGCAAAGCTATTATCATGATCTAGTGATCCACATACAACCAATATTCAATTGGCGTGGGATCAGGCACATACCCAACAAGGGCTTCTATTTACACTACTACCTATATTTTTTGGTAAAATTTTTAGAAATGTCCCCACTCAATTTGTAAAAATACCCCACTTCACATTCTTGGACTGAACTCTCTCTCTCTCTCTCTCTCTCTCTCTCTCTCTCTCTCTCTCTCACACGCACACACACAATTCTCTCACACACTCATATTCCCACAAATATTTGAAAATACCCACTATAGATTCTTGCACCCACATACTTTTAGGTCCGAAAGAAAGTAAACTAAATCGGCTCTCTTGTTTCTTCACTCTACTGCCCCACACTAAGAAGCATGGACACAAGAAATAGCTAATGCCTTTCTGCTGCTTCACGTAGCATCCATGCCAGCCCTATACTGAATACTGACACTTTGAGGACACTCCAAAATAGATGTTTAACAATTTATAGACACCAATACAGCCTATGTAATACAAACATGAAAGAACACAGAATTAACCACATTATATTTGCATCTCCCAAAAAGGCAAGTTTCTGAAATATTGGAATGTATGGTTAAAAAAAGACAGCTAATTGTCTTCGTAACATACTCATGAAGAGGATGACCAGGACAACCAATGGGTTAGACTTACACTGTGATATTACTCAAAAATAAAAATGTTAAGAAGGCCATAATATCCTAGTGGAGCTCAATCATTCTTTTGAATTGTCGCTAACATGCGAAATGAATAATATACTATGAAGCTCTCATGCTAAAATGTAGAAGAAAATGTTTTAAGCATTTCTGATGAAATGTCTAAAATGAACCAATAAGGAGAAAACAATAAACATACTTTGAAGAAAAATGAATAACATAAGAGATAGAAAGGTGATCTCTAGGTTGCATAGGATGACCCATTAAAAAGGGAATGATTCCATAATCTTACACAACATTGATCCACAAAGTCATCACCCAGACTGAAATTTGCACAAAAAGGAGCACATAAGTGAACACATGATTTATCTAGAAAAAAAAAAAGGGGGCGAGACATTGCTATCGCATGAAATCCTAGGAATTACCCCTCACCAATGAAAATGTCTTTTATTTCAGTGCCACCAAGAATGAAGTGGATTATTCTCATCAAGCTAATTAAATAAATTTATTTGCGCACCACCTACAGCATCACAGGATTAAACAAGAATTTTCAAGCATCAAGAAAGCATTTAGGGCTAGTTTGGTGTGGTGGAATGGAATGAGAATGGAGGTGGGAATGGAATGAGTAGGGAATGGAATGGTCATTCCTTTTGTTGGAATGTGGAATGATTTTAATGGAATGACCATTCTCCAAGAATAGTGGAGAATGATGATTCCAATTTTTAAATTGGCACCAAACACAAGAATAGAAAAAAAAAACCATTACATTCCACTTTCTTTTATTTCATTCCACCACACCAAACTAGCCCTTACAACTAACAGCAAAGATGGCAGACATTGCATGTATATGTCTATTGACTACTGAAAGCCATTCCTATTACAACCTAGATGACATTCTATATAGGCCACAGATGATTTGTGACACAAAATGGTATTGCATCAAAAAGATAAAGAAAAATAACAATATAATATTAATTTTAGGATATTAGTGTTAATGGAGATCTTTTGTCACTTCATAAAGATAATGTTGGCCTAGTAATTGAAATGTTATAATTTTTAACAAATCCTCGAGAAAAGAAGGACTAATTAGGCATAATAAAGAAGATTTCGTCAATCCTTCACACAAATTGATGCAAATTCGGAAAGACTTCTTCGTGCCATCGACAGGGAAAAAAACGCTAAAATGGAAGAGCAATATTTGGACAGTGAGTATCACAATTAGGCATGTGCTAGTAAAACATTTATGATTTCTAAAAAATCCTCAAGTCAAGCAGTCTACTTAGGTTTAACATAGTAAAAACTTGAATATGACATCAGCTACAAGATACAAATGGATGCAAGTTCAGAAAAGGTTCCATATATCATCCACACAAAATAAGTTGAAGAGCAATCTTTGGTCACTAGATCTTCATTGCACCTTCCCATGTTTCGACATGAAGATTATAATTTTTGCGTAATCTTTTATCATGTGGAAGATCTAAAATGCTTGAAATTCAAGGTAATTCCAGATCCTAATAGAGTTGTAATTATGTAGATTTATGTTAATTGCACACTTCAATAGTAGGTGAAGTACCCAAGTCAGACACACAATATTCGGACATGGGTATGAGATGTGTCTAATCAGACTTGTATCTAGAAAACATATCCAAGTATCCAACAGTTCAATTTTACTATATTATTGCTTCAAAACAAGTGAAATGCCTATATTTAACACTGTGGCACATAATCTCTAGAAAATAAAATTAAATTATTAAAAGATAATGAATTTTTGGCAGTGTTTATGTGTCCTATTTTAGGAATTTAACACTCCAATGCACGGCTCCATACCCGCACCCAACACACGTACCCATGTCCATGTAGCATAGATGTGGATTAAAAGGCCAGTTGCATTATAATTGATAAGTGGCACAATACATCTGTTTATTATTTAATTTAGATGGGTCATGTTGTGTAAACCATTTAATAAACTAGGTGCGTCTGTGCAAATATATGAACTTAAAAATAGTTCAGTTTTAATTGACAATTACCTTTGAATACCCATGTCTCAACATACACAAGTAATATTCAACAAGCTCCATCCCAACACTGGTCATAACAAATGTGTTGGTAAGTTTTAACACATTATCTTTCATACCGGGATCCAGAATGACTAATGATTCAAAAATCATATAAAGTGTAAACCAAGATGAATCTCCGGATTAATACATTGCACCACTTCACATCATTGATTATTGAATTGAAAGGAGAGAAGATTTTTTTGCAAGTTTCATATAGGATAGAGATAAAGGGGGTTCGTTACATCATAATACTATGACACGAGGTTCTCTATTGCCATAAGAATATTAGATGAGAAAAAAATATCTATTGCCATGACAAAGATGACAACCATAATAGTATTTGTTTATTGTGGAGGTCTTAAATATATAATTGGTTAAAAGGTTATATGAACAGAAACTGAACTGATAACTGATCCATTTCCTTAAACCTTTAGAGCAATCACAAAGCATATTACAATCAACTGTTAAAAATCAAATTCAAACTTCTAGTAATTTCATAGTTATAATTGCCATTCAAATCTGGAGGTTGAAAGGCAACCATTCCATAGAAAACATAATAACACAAATGTAGTACTAAATGAAACAAACAGAAAAATGTACCTTGCGATATCTTTCCTTCTCAAACTATAGAGAGATTATAGGAGCTGCATAGCTGAACCAATGATGTCTGATTTGCTGGATCAACATTTTCATTGATGATTTGAGGATACCTCCCAGGGGAATTAGCAGAAAGCTCTGCCAACGAGGCTGCCAAAAATTGCTTTGGATCCCTAACATCCCTTAGAGGGTCCTCCTGTTTCTTCCCAGCATTGTACAGATGAACAAAGGTAGCACCATAACCCACATTATCTCCAAAATCTGGAACATCTTTTTCCTCCTCAACTCTATCCTGCTCTGGCCGCGAGATAAGGGTAACAATGCTGTCCAGCATCTTCCCCCAAAGTCTACCAGCTGCAGGATCCAACAAAATTGCAGATTCACAGATAAGTCTGGTTGAAGCAACAGAAGTTAACTTGAGCTCAATAAAACCCGTGATCAGCTTGAGATTAGGTATCCAAAACTGCTCCAAGATTACAACAAATATATTGGGCTGAACGGCATTCATAGAATCCACAAGGTTCCGGGAACCATGCTTAATCAGAAAGAGAGACATAAATATAAGAAGAGACTTCACAAATTTCACAGTTCTTTTATTTTGGAGCCTCGTAAATAGGGAAGCCCAGATGTGGCCCATGTAGGGTGCAATCACATCATATCCAAGGTTCTCGATAGCTGTATTGAGCACATAAAATCCTTGTTCTTCTGTGCTAGAAGATGAAACAAGCCTGTCAAAAATACCAAGCACCTGGGTCAACCTCCCCTCTTGGTTAAGCTCGTGGGGTGACATTTGAAGGAAGGCCTGAAGCAAACGCACAAGGGCTGGGACATTTGCAGCTCTTTTCCATGACTCAGGCAACAGGAGAATGTCAAAAATCTGCATGTAGTGCTGTGGGACGGGAGGTCTATTCAACTCAACAAGCTGAGCCAGTAGCTGGAAAGCATAAGGGAAGAACTCAGTTACATCTTTTGCCAAGATCATTTGGAGGCTTGGAAAAAGGCTTGCTTCAAATGCCGTTATAAGAGAGGGGTCCTTCTCACAAACCCGCCTGACAAGAATGGCAACAGCCTCAAAGAGATAGTGATTAAAAATAGGATTTTTGGGGTTCTCGCAGACTTTGTTGAGAACAGAAGTCAGCCCAGTAATGCAAGGTGAAGCGACCTCCCGAGAAGTGTCTGCAACTCCAAGAACCCGCATGATACACTTCATTACATATGGATTCTCCTCAGATTCTGGCTTCTCCAAGGCATTAAAAAGGTTGGTCATCAAAACTGCCAGAAACGGACTGATATCTGATGACGTATATCTTGCTCTTCCCCCTTCATCCTTGACCAGCAAGAGTTTTTCAATGCAGCTTGCGGCATAAGAATGAACCACATTCGACTCCGAAACAAGGAACCGAACCACATCGGGAACCAATGCCATTGCAACAGGTTTCGGAATCTGATTCCTAAACATAGTGAAAAATTTCAGGGCGCCAGCCTTAAGCATCGGAAATCCATTCACATCTTGATTTTGTAACTCCGGCACAATAACCGATCTGAAAAAGTTCTCAACATCTATGAGATCAGTTGACACTGAGTTACCACCCGCCTTTTTCGTTACCAGGGAGACAACCAAATAAATGGCACAATCCTTATGTTTCCAATTTGCTGATGGATTTTCAGCAAACAATGCCAAACTACTCTGGATCTGAGTGGAAACCTTTTCAGTGACCTTGTCTTTGTAATTTGAAGCAATTCCCTTCAGGAGTTCACAAGCAATCCTCCTCCTTGTATCAAGATCACTCCCTTCCATGTCCCTCCTTATGAACTCAACATAATTCATCTCAAACAACTCCTCGTCCTCATCCCTTAGCATAACATTTGGGATAACAATACTCTGACAAATCTGCTGTAAAATGTCATCTCTAGCAAACAACGCGTGGTTAACACTCGTGCTGACTGTTGTTAAGAACTTGATTGCTGTCACTGTTAGCCGATCACGGCTAGAAGAGGCCGATGCAGCCACAAGAAGATTCCACACAGCTTCCACAAACCCACCCAAGTACGCCTGAAACTCCTCCTCAAATTTCTCCATGTAAAGGCTTAAGTTCTCACAAACCGCAGCTCGCAGCTCATCAACAAGCGTGAGCCCATCTCCACCACCCTCTTCAAGAGCAGGGTAACTCAAAGTGAGATACTTTTGAAACTCAGTCATCCACTCTCCCATATGATCCTCAAAAAACTCAGGCAAGTCTTGAAAATTCAGAGAATAAAATATTCTGCAGCACAACCTCTGTGACTCAACAAGAGGCCGAAGGTTCGCAGCTGCACCACCAGAACTCACAACCGAATCAAGCAGTGAAGCAGTTCTTTTAAAAAATTTCAACAGTGGATCCGTAAAGATATCAAGACAGTACTTCAAATCAAGAAGCAAGTCATTGGTATTAAACTGATATCTGAATTTCTTAAATATTGAATTTGCAGTACCAAGTATTCCATTAGCAGAAACATAATCAGACGCCTCGCTCGCTCTACTGAGACTTGAAACAAGTTCGGGAAGCAGTGCAGGCCACGCTTTCGGGAAATCGTGTTTGCTGATCACGGTTAGAGCTTCACTGAGTTGGGATTGGATTCGCGTTGTGCACGAAAGCATTAGAGGGACGATTAGGGCTTTGATTTGGTCCTTTTCGGCATCAGCAATCGGGTTTAGGGTTGGTAAATTGGGCTCTGTGGGCGGAGTAGGAACCCACCGGGCTTTGAGGTGGTTCTTGAAGTTCACGGCGGCGGCTTGGCGGACTGCCTCGTCGACGGCGGGCTCAGCGACGAGGCGGAGGACAGCGAGGCCGTAGTTGGGGCGCTCGGCGGCCTCGGCAAGGCTGGTTTCGGCATGGCGGCGAGGTTCGGGGATAGGAGAGAGAGTGTGGAGGAAACATTGAGAGAGAAATTGTAGGGTTTCGGAGTTCCATTCCATTGTTTGTAGAGCAATATGTGTTTCTAGGGTTTTTGGGTGATATTGAACGTATAATCCCTAATCTATTTATATGATTCTGATGATGAGCTTGTTTGAATATAAGGAAGTAAATAATCAGGAACAGATTACAGAGAGAGAAAGTACCTGAGAGTGATCGATTAAAGTCGTCGTAGTGGTAGTAGCGCAGGCAAAGTAGAGAGAGTGTGTGTGTTTGAACAAGAGACTAGAGAGGGACTATGAAAAGGGTTTTTGAAGCTCCTGCGGTATAGGCCGTAGTGGGTGGATGTGGATTTAAACTGAAAAAGGGTCGGATCCAAACAAATTTCTAACGCTCTGTTTGGAACCAAATCCTTCGGGATTTGGATTTAAAATTGGAAAAGGAATTGGATTGGAATTAAAATAGAATTTCATTTATGTTTTTGGAATAAATGTTTTTGGAATAAACTGGAAGGGTAAAGTACACAGACATCTTCTGAGGTTTGGGGAAAGGACAGGCAGATGAAAATTTGCCTATTTTTGGACAACCACACCCCCTCCTAAAATTTGCCATCCAAACAGAGCCTTAAAATATGTGAAAAGTCTATTTTACCCTTCACTATTTTATTAATTTTAATTATAAAATATCAAATTTCTTAAATGACCAAGTTACCCTTTTCATCTCTCTCTACCCAGCCCATTTCTCTCTCCTCCACAATCCATTCACAGCCCATTTCTCTCTCCTCTCTCCATTCTCTCTCTTCCTCCTCTTGTCGCTCCAGCACCACCCACCATCCCACCACCACCACCCCACCCCTTCTATCTATCTCTCTCCACGATTCCACCCCACACCACTTATCATTGCCGCAATCACTGAAACGAAAAATGAAATCACCGCCGCCTGTCAATATCATCATCATCATCCAACAATGGCTTCCGGCGACGATGGAGGCAAGACACAACTTGATTCTGATGATGATTATGTTCAAAGGATGGCTTCTGGCATCATCTGTTGGTGGTGTGGCTTAAGGTTGTGATTGAGTGTTGGTGTTTGAGTTTGTGATTGCTCCTCTTCAGTCAATTACCTATCTACCCAAACAGAACACAACAAATCAATTCTCTTATTATTTTAGATCCAGTCAAAGATCACCATGGCTTTAATCTTGAGTTGTTGTTATTTATTTATTTTTTAATCTTTAAACCTTTGTGATTTAATGCTGATTTATATCTCCAATTTGTGGAGACGGGATCAAAATTACAGTGTATGCGCCTTTGTCGCTGCCTTGTGTGTGTGGATATATATATATATGTATGTATCTGTATATACATATATATACGCGTGTGTGTGTGTGTATGTGTGTGTGTGTGTGTGTGAAGTGAATGGTTGAAGAAATCGGGGCAGAGCGTGGAGCACCTCCATGTGTGTGATTTGTGGTGGTGATGACATATGTGTGTGCGTGTGTAATATACAGACAATATATATATCTCTTTATGTGTGTATGTGTATTAGTTGTTTGGGTTTGGGTCTGTGCTGTGGGAGAGGGGAAAGAGAAGAAGAGGGAAAGGATTTTGGGTTTATTATATGGGTTTTACCCAATAACCCATTTAAACTTGTTTGATTCAAGGGTATTTAAGTCAATTGTATTTGTCAATTTTATATCAAAGGGTAATAAAGTCAATTCACCATTGTCGGGGTATCTTTGTCCATTTTATTAAACTTGAGGGGGTGTGATTGTTCAAAAATAAGACAATTTTTATTTACCTGTCCTTATGTGAAACTTTAGGGGGTGTTAGTGTACTTTACCCAAACTGAAATTTTAACTAAATGAATTACTTTTTTATGTTTGGATGCAAAAAGGAATTGGAATGAAAATATTTTTTTTTTTACCATTTTATCTTTACAGAGAGATGTGTGTACGTATAGTTGCAGGACATATATTAGTACTTAAATCATAATTTTTATTTATAATAATTTTGGCAACTTAAACCACATATTATGAAATAATATTTTAATATACTTCTTTTACTCTTAAATTTTTTATTACTTCTATAAATATACATAAATATATACATAAAAATATACAAACTTTTGTGAATCTTATAAAGCAATATTGATAATACAATAGAAGAATAGATATAATAGAAAGAGAGCAAGAGAACTTTTATTTTGTTGTGATCTCTCCATTCGCAATACATTTAGGGTGGCCACGGATCGGATCGGATTAGGCATCAATCCTAATCCGATTCGGTCGCAACAGATTGGGAGATTTTCAATCCACCACCAATCTGTTAGTCTACGGATTGGATCCGTGAAATGACGGATCGGATCAAATCCAATCCGCGAACTGAATTTTTCAAATTAGTCTATTTTTTATTTTTTACCAATTTCATATCCAATTACAAAAGTGTATAATATAATATAGATTAACCCAATTTAAATGCATAATAGGTGTTTAACAAGGATAATCAAACTATAAAATACTGCATAACCAAAAGGATAATAGTTATCCAAATTATCCGAAAAAACAGTAGGACTAGAATGCCAAATATTAAATAACAATAGCAACCAAAAGTAGCAGTGAAGTGAAATAAAAAAAAAAAGGGTTAGCAGATCCATATGCCAAATATTACATAACCAAAGGTCCAAAAGTAGCAATGAACTAAATAGGCAAATATTACATAACCAAAGGTCCAAAAGTAGCAGTAAAGTAAAAAAAATAAAATAAAATAAAATAGCAGACTAGCAGTGAAGTGAAAAAAAAAGGGGTAGCAGACAGTCACTCCATATGTATAATACTTACCAAAAAATATATATATATGCTGGAAAAAGTAAAGATATAAGATATTGCTATATATTAATTATATATATATATATTTTACAGATTGCCCACGGATCGGATTCGCGGATCGAATCGGATTTTTGACAGCGTAATCCGTGAACTACATATTCAATTTTTTTTAATCCGCCACTGATCCGTGGGTTTAATAATTCGATCCGATCCGTACGAATCGGCTCGGATCGGATTCGCGGATTTTTTGCCCACCCGTAATATACTACACCCTTTACATAAAGAGTTTTACCACCTAATGCACTGTACTTTGCTCATCATACTTTCTCATACAAAGCACTTAAACCATTGCAATACATAATCTACTGAAGCATACCATCCTCTGCCTTGACACTCATGCATAAAGTTAGTGAAGTGGACCACGCTATATTACAACATTCCCCCTTGGGGTCTACTGAATTACACTAAGAATATGCCTCATTAAAACCTTGTTAGGAAAAACCTAGCGAAGGAAAAAGAGTATAATATCCTTGTGTCATTGAAAATGGTATTGCACAGGTTAAAACTGCCTCATTAAAAACCTTGCTAGGAAAACCCAGTGGGAAAAACCATAGCGAATGAAAAAGAGTACAGTATGCCAATACATTTTCAATTCAATTGCTCCCTCTCATTCAGCATTAAATATCATTGAGCCGACGCATTCTAATATTATCCACTAACTTCTTGAATGTTGTAGTTGGAAGCGCTTTAGTGAATAAATCTGCTAGATTATCACTCGAGCGTATCTGCTAAACATCAATATCGCGGCTCTTCTGAAGCTCGTGTGTGAAAAAGAATTTTGGTGAAATGTGCTTGGTCCTGTCACTTTTTATATATTTTTCCTCTTACTTGTGCAATACATGTTGTATTATCTTCGTATAATATTGTTGGACTACCTTTGATTGAGGAGAGTCTATATGATTCCCGAATATGTTGTATAACAGATCTCAACCAAACACACTCTCTACCTGCTTCATGAATTGCGAGTATCTCAGAGTGATTTGAAGAATTGCAGTCATGGTCTGTTTCATAGATCGCCATGATATAGCAGTATCACCATAAGTAAACAAGTACCCTGTTTGTGATCGAGCTGTATGTGGGTTAGAAAGATAACCTGCATCTGCATATCCGGTCAACTGGGGCTTTGATTTTCTTGAATAAAACAACCCATATCAGTCGTTCCCCGAAGGTAACGCATAATGTGTTTGACCCCATTCCAATGTCTTCGAGTTGGTACAGAACTATACCGTGCTAGTAAGTTGACTACAAATGCTATATCAGGTCTGGTACAATTCGCAAGGTACATAAGAGCACTGATTGCACTAAGATATGGTATTTAAGGACTAAGAACTTATTTGCCTTCTTTTTAAGGTCGAAAATGATCTTTCTTAACTATAAGTGATCGGATAATCATTGGAGAACTCAAAGGGTGAGCTTTATCCATATAAAAGCGCTTCAGGACTTTTTCAGTGTATGTTGTCTTATGGATAAGAATTCCACTTGGTAAATGCTCGATCTGTAGGCCGAGACAAAATTTTGTTCTACCAAGATCTTTCATTTCGAATTATTTCTTTAAATAATTAATAGTCGTGGTGAGCCCTTCAAGAGTTCCCGTAGGATTTAGATCGTCAACATATACAGCTATAGTGGCAAATCCAGATTTTGATTTCTTGATGAAAATGCATGGACAAACTTGATTATTCACATATCTTTCTTTTAGTAAATACTCGCTAAGACGATTTGTGATACCCCATAATTTCGGAACACGGGTTGATCAAGTCCGCGCACAAAATCAGGGAATATCAAAACAATTCAAGTATTTAAACAAGCACAGAGTACAAAAAGAAAATAAAAAGAATAAATAACTCGCTGAAGGAAAATCTATTAAATAATAAATTCATTAATAACTCTCGAATGGTTACGGCTCAGGAATTCCGTAACTCAAGGATCCATTAATCAAACACCACTATCCAAAAATTCATCACTACATACTGAAGTAATAATATTCTACTTTGAAATAAAATATAAATAATGGATAAGTCTTCCAGCTACGGATTCTCAACCTTGAGACTTGGAACTTCTAATAACCTGAAAAATAAATCGCGGGTTAAACCCTACGAGTAAGTTCTTTCTACCAAGCCTCTAAAAACCAATAAGTAGATAATCTCTGATCAAAACCAAACCAAATAAAGTTTTAAGTTTTAATAAACAATGATGCACATATATATAAATAATTATATATAATACACTAATCACATCTATTAATAGGTCCATTAAATTTAAAAACATTAAACAATGATTAAATTAATAATCATTCCTAGACCAATCCACAATTTTTTTTAAAGAGAAATTTCTTTAACCTTAAGTCAATCCTAAACAATTATTAAACCATTTAAATAATAAAATATAATTAAAGAAATATTATATTTAATCCAATCCCTAATAATAATTGTAATTATTTAAATCACA